AGCGAAGTGGATAGGGATTGAAGGGAGTCAGTGGCGGGCAGCTATCAGAATCCATCCCACTGGGGAGAGAAGATGTCACTCCATTGGAAGTCACACAGGAGTGGCTGGGGAGGGAATATTGTTTCCAGAATCCTCGGGCTCAAAGCCTGGAGCCAAGCAGGAGAACAATACAAATAATTAAGGGAGTAGTGGAATTAACTTACAGGGAATTCTTTCTACTTTTCTTCACCTGGTGAGATCAAGTGTAGTATTCATTTCACATCAGATAGGTCCATTATCAGGGAACTGTATCCTGTTCTGGCAAAAGATGATCTAGTAGATTTTTTTCCATTCCTAACTTCGAGGATGTACAAATTAGGTATAGCTTGGGAAAGCGATGCGCTGGCCTTGCTGCGTCTAGGCATATTTAAAAATATCTAAGATGAATAAAACTCAAGGAGGGAAAAGAAATGCAAGGGAATGTGTTATAAAAGGAAAAAAACAAAAGCCTGCCTCGTTTGCATTTATACAGAGTCTATAAAGAGAAGGAAGAAGTCCAACCTTGTACAATAAACAAATCTAGAAAAAGTCTAATCACATCAATGATAGGGAGTCACCTCAACACAGAGAAAGTTGAACATCAATGACCTGGACTGACTCCATTTTCTTTCATAAAAATGTACCTTATATTTGAAATCCATTTTGAATAGCGAATACCATACCCAATTTGCAGATGGAAAAATTAATCATTGAGATATTTTATTTGAATTCGAACAGAGTGAATCAGTGAAAAACAACAGTATGACTCAATTCTCTGGCCGTGGAATAAAAAAGAGAGCTAAGGTCTATGTTTTTCTATCAAATTCAAGTTATAAGGAATTTTTCTTATGGCTATAATTTAGTCTATAATTTGTCACTCAAATATCGCCACCCTACAATTATATTAATGAAACATCTCTAATCATTTACAAATCACTCTTCTGCCACTCCCTTCAGGTGTACATTAATGACTGGATATTTGACGTGTTCTTGGGCTGCTTTGGATCCTGTCAATATTTGCTGTCAAAAACCCATTTAGGTTCCTGGTTTCTTGAGTGATGCCTTAAAGATGAAAAAGCATCAAGTCACTGAGTTAATGGCTCATTTTTCAATGTGGCTTTTCTTTGACACCTATTTTGGAATTATCCATTTTGTGTGCCCCTTTTCCAAGGCCACTCTCAAAGTGTAAGCTGTAATTTTTGTGCAGTTTAGAACATTTTAGAATGGTTAGAGCTCACTTGGGTCAAGTAAAAAGAGCTCTTTGGAGGGGCCTTGATAGAGTCAAAAGGTCTGTCCCTAAGGTCAGGCAGCTCTCATTTGGAATCTTGGCTTTTCCTCGAACTCTTTGTGTGACATCTAACTTCTCTGAGGCTCAGTTTTTTCCTCAGCAGTTTGTTGTGAGGCTGTAGGACCTAGGCTGAATCGGGGCTTGGGGGCGGCTAAAGGAGTGTGTGGTGGGTGGCTGGGGAGTAGTTACTACCCCCAACCTCGCATGGGGTTAAGATGAAAGCCAGTCTCAAACCCAACTCTGCCACATGTACAGACGTTTATTAAACACACATTCATTAGTAAGCCAGCACAAAACCGTCCATGCAGTCTGTCTGTGAGCTCCAGGAAGCCTCGGCTCTTGTGCCTTTAAGTGCTCCAAGTGACTGTCACCTCAGTAACAGGCTCACATGAAGCAGGTGGAGATTCTGTGCCCCTTGGTGGCAGCACCCAGCTGGAAATGCTCATTATCAGTGGCTGGAGACAGGCCCATTTAGGGATCACTCCTCGAGCTCGGTCTCTGAAGATGCAATGTATAGGCTCTTAGATTCTGACACTCTGTTCAGCAGGGGGGAGGGATTGTCTCCAAACCATTTTAACCAATCTACATACCCTAACCTCCTCTAATTTCTTTAACAAGAGCCATTTCTAATGCTCATGCTATTATTCCCCCTATTGACATTTCTTCAGACATCAAAACCTCAGGTGTTAGTGGACAGATGGCTAACAGAAGGACTTGGAGTAGCAACCGTGGGAATGTGGTCTTAGTGATATTTTACCACCTCATCACCACCCTACGAGGATAAACTCCCACTTAGAGCAGTAGAATTCTCTAGAGCTGCAGTTTAAACCAACATGAACATATAAAATATCACACGGTCTATGCTGGTTAAAAGTAAATTACAGACAACCTAACAATGGGAAGAACGAACATTTTATTTTATTTTATTTTCAAAGATTTTATTTATTTATTTGACAGAGAGAGACACAGCGAGAGCGGGAACACAAGCAGGGGGAGTGGGGGAGGGAGAAGCAGGCTCCCCGCTGAGCGGAGAGCCCGATGCGGGACTCGATCCCAGGACCCTGGGATCATGACCTGAGCCGAAGGCAGACACTTAACGACTGAGCCACCCAGGCGCCCCAAGAACGAACATTTTAAATACATGTCAATACTCATCCACTTAAGGATGATCTCCTTCAATGGTTGTCAGATTGGGCACCCCCCTCCTCACTGGAAGGAACCGCTCAGGGCCCACGGTTTGGGGGAAGCAGATGTCGTTCTGCACTCCCTACCACCTTAGCCAGAGCAGCTCTACCTCTATCTACACCTAGTTTGCATTTTAGATGTTCTCACAATACTTTACTTAAAGGAAGCGTTCAGTAGCTGAAAGGTTTGAAAACCACTGACAAAGCCTAATATTCATATTACAAGCGGGAAAGATGAGACCCAGAAGAGCTGTCATTTTTTCAAGTACAGAGAATCTGTAACAACTCCTAGCCCTGGGCTCTTTGCCCTAGCAGAAGGCACCCGTTTAACCGTGGAGAGGCGACACGCATTGCTAAAATTAAACTCAGCAAGAAAAGGTGGTGTTCCCATAGCATGTGCTTTACCGAATACATTATCCTGGATGACCTTATGTATTCCTTTACTGAAAACTATAACCCACTACAGAGCATGCACACTTCATCAAATAGGTTAGTTTAGTAGGCAAGTCTTTCAGAAACTGTATATTAACTTCAACTCACCATTAGGAAGATGCCCTCTGTAGATGCTTAATAAATGGGTCAGGGTAGTGATGATCCAATTAAACTTTTAACCAGTTAACCTTCCCCCCAAAGTCCCTATATCTACTTTCCCCCTTTTTCAATCAAACTGCAGCAATGGAGATAGTTATTGCTTCAATATAGATAATTGTCTGCGGGTCTTATTTACATGGCTTTGATCTTATTTCAGGACCCTAATGATATTTCATCCAGTCTAAGACACTGCCAATTGTAAAATACCATTATGTTATGTGCTGCTAAAAAATAAAACACACGTGCCAATTAAAAATTTAAGAAACCACTGGTTGTAAGACACATTTTGATTTCAGAGATATTAAAAGAGGTGCATCTTGGAATTCATAAAGTATGCTACCATATTTGCCACCATATAAGACATATTTTCCCCCTTGCCTTCTGCCCCTCCCTCCTCCCACTCTAGGCCACCTGATATTTCTATTAAGCAGAGGAATAGCATAGAAGGCTCAGCCTTAGACTTTCCAACATACTTCCGTCTAAAATTGTGCTGCACATATATTTTGGCATATATAGTACACACTGATGAAAAAAACTCTTGGCTTGTTGGCCCTAGGAATGGTGATGTACCTCTTTTGATACCCTCCATGAACACTTTGGATCTGTTTCCTTTCTGTGGGATCAGCATTATTCTAGTAGGAAAGGGAATTGGAAAGACTCTAGGAGGAAAACATCACTTCCTGCTCTTGGGAGAACACAGATCTGCCATGTTGCCTGAACATGGACCCTGGATATTTCCTGTGTCTTGAGTTAAACATTCCCCTGGCAACAGAGCTCATATCAGGCAGTTCCAAACGGACCTTACTACAGTTCCTAATAATTTTGTTTGATGTGGCACCAAAATTGTCCAAACTGTATCATAAGGTAGTAAAATATTTTGTCCCTTTTGCTCAGGCATGATTTTCATGCATAACAGCAAAGTGCAATTTCAATTTTTCAAGTCCACATATCCAATTACTCATAAGGCAACACTTTATCTTAAGCGGAAAAATTGTGCTCTACCTTAAAAAAAGTTTTTGTTTTTGTTTTTAGAGAGAGCGAGCACAACTGGGGGGGAGAGGCAGAGGGAGAGAGAGAATGTTAAGCATGCTCCATGACCGGCACAGAGCCCAATGCACGGCTTGATCTCACGACCCTGAGATCATGACCTGAGCCGAAATCGAGAGTCGGATGCTTAACCAACTGAGCCACCCAGGCACCCCTTAAAAAAAAGTTGTTTTTTTTAAAGAATTCATGCTTTTTAAAAAAGATTTTTATTTACTTATTTGTCAGAGAGAGAGAGGGAGTGAGAGAGCACAAGCAAGCGTCCCACATGTTATCTTAATTAAAGACAAGAATCTATGAAGTGTGACACCAATGAACTTGACTTTCCAGCACTCTCCTTATGCACTGACCCACACAGTGGTGTGCTGGGGAGAAGGTAGAGGAGTGTCGTTTATGGAGAGACCTCAGGAAGTGCTGGCACAGTCATAGGACATTATGGAAAGGAGGAGGTGGTTTAGGAGGTGTGAACGCAGCCCTCCTAGGGTGAGTCTGAAGTAAGTTGAAGGAGGGCTAAGGTGTGGGATGGCTTCTGTGCTTGCTGTCTCCTCCCTTCCTGTCATTATGTGTTCCTTCCTCATCTGAGGGAGAGGAAAATATTCAGCACCGCAGGAGGGCAGCATCCAGAACAAACTGTCTTGAAATTCTTCTATCCAACAGGGAATTGTGAAATCACTGCACAGACCTAAGGATGAGTTCCAGAAATTTGTAATAAATGTCAAATTTTCCTTTGCATATTTTTGTCCTGTCATTATGGCAATTTTCTTGAGGTTAAAAGCTTTTCAGATGCGTTTTTCCTCATAATGAATTCGGTCTCCCAGTGTCACTGCAAGTTCCTACCCTTTTCGAGCTCAATCTTCCCTGCTTTTTTCTTTTAGGCAAATATCAACATCCCAATGGGAGCCTTTCGGCCAGGAGCTGGGCAACCCCCCAGAAGAAAAGAGTGTACTCTGGAAGCGGAGGAGGTGAGGAAAACTTAGCTGGCAGAGCTCAGCCCTGTCTTTCCCCTCCAGACTCCTGACTAGAGCGGGGACAAAGGCAAGGCGAGGGTCGGCTCCCCAGGACAAGGGAGGCAGGAATGGATGTGGGGCAAGGAGTCACCACATAGTGTCTACATTTCTTTGACTGTCTTGCTCACTTAGCCATGAAACACACTGCTCCTCACTTCCCTTCAGCTCTTTAAGTGCCTGCCACAGTTACTTGAAGATGCTGAGTTTAACATGCAGTTTGTTAACTGAGTGAGTGTGTGTGTGTGTGTGTGTTGGGGGCGAATAGCCTGTCAAATGCTCTCGGTCTGGCCACAGTCACTAGCTCGGTAAGGTTTCCCTCGGAGCTTATACTGAACCGAGCAGGATGTCTTTAGTACAACTTCTGATGAGTGACAAACCCCAGTGGGAGCTCAGGTAATAAGCATGTTAAATTACTCGTGGATTCAAACAAAAAGCCCCAATCTCTGGGTATTTCCTTTGAAAAGAGGACTTTGCAAAGGAGCCGATCAATTTCTGTCTTCTTTTCCTCCCTCTAATCCTTTACCTCTTCCAAATTCATATGCTCGCTTGGCTGAAATGGAGGCTAAAATGAGTAAGTGCATTAAATAGAGAAGGGTGCCCCCCCCCTCAAATGTCTGGATTCCTTCACCAACTGTGACTTTTCTGATGAAACCTGGAAGGTCCGGTTCTGGAAAAAAAAAAATTTCAAGTTTTGGAACATGTCATTCACACAAGACAAGGAAAATGGAATTAAACAAGGCCACAGGGCATAGCCAATTGTATTTCATCTTTTTAAAAAGGCACTCTTTTCTTGTAACTTTTGTAGGTGACCTTTTTGATATTTGCCCCCAAAGAACACCTATCACCATTTCAAAGTTTCCTAATAAAACTTCGGTTGTCCCTCATCTAACCTCTTCTTCCCTGTAAATGATTACTGACATGGTCCTAAGTTAGTAATTCCAGCCTCTTATCAATAGGAAGATAATTTTTCAAAGAAGGAGATGAAGTATTTGAGTGACACCACCAAGTTCTGGAATTTCTGCCACTAAGTCACCTTTGATGAATAAAAATTTTTAATGCACAAGTTGAAAAGACCCAGCACTACCCTGCGTTTCTGGTATATAATCTCAAACTGTGACGCTACATACTTGGCTATCCAGTTCACTCCTGATCATGAGCCCTCCCTTTGGGACTTTGGTCAAGCATTTCTGAGTCTACGTCCGCCAAATATGATCCACTCTTTTCTTCAGAGGGTTGCTGAGAGGAGTCAGCGATATAACGGACATGGCATAGCCTAGCAAGCGTTCAGTAAATGATTGTTCATCAATTGATCTAATTATCCAATTTTCATGAAGGACTCCGAGGCCTATTACTTGGCGTGTTGTAAGAAGAAGGCATGGGGAGGTTGAAGAGAGGACAGGGAAATTCTTCCCACACCTCCATTTATCTGTAATTATTAATTAAGCCGTGTGTGTCACTACCATGGCAGTCGGTCAAAAGGTAGCTTGACCCAGTTTTCTCACTAAACTGACGGATGTTAACAGTTGTTTTGGAGGCTTGCATCTCATCTTCCCTCTGTGGTACAGATGACCCTCAGTTCTTCTCTGTACAACTGGTACTTTCCTCCTCATAAGTGTCCCAGTTAGGGGGTTGGGAAATCACGTTGCTCTCACTCTTGTCTGACAGTTCCAGCACATTCTAAAATAGACAAGAACTGATATACCCTGTTTGTGAACACCTACTTTATGATAAGTCACATGTACAACTGGCTAATCAATATTCTTCACAGGATGGAGGGAGTGAGGTAGCCACAGAGACCCAGAGACCCCAGGAGTGTTTCTTGAACTGAGCTATACCTTTTGCATGAGGCTCATGGGCTGGGAGGGTGGAGCTGAGGGTGATATTCCATTACTGTCTGAGCAGAAATGAGCTCTCGGGACTCGTGGGGTCTTAGGTAGGGGTAGGATCTAATGACTCAAGGTCTAGGTTGGACCTTGGAGTAAGTTTCTCATGGAAACAACATTGCAAGGGGAGCAGTTAGGCAGCCTGGCTTGCTACAAGGTGCGTTAAGTAGGATTTTGTGGGTTTGCCACCTTTTGTTCCATAGTTTGGAGGGGAAAATGGAATCTGAAATAAAAATAAATTCTACAGCCACACTTTAAAAAAATTGTCTAGTTTGCAAACCTGGAATTGCTTACGTACCTAGTTTTGGTATTTGTTGCCTAGCCTTGCGTGAAGATAATCACAGTATAAAATGGAGATCATAACATACCATCCCTGAACATAACAGGCCACCTCGATCACAGCCAGTAGCTCCCCCATCTCAATCCTGACACTATCTCATACTTGAAGAGGATGTACTCCAGCAGGAGGCCAGGATCAGCCTGTGGCCGTCTGACCAGGCCTGTGAGCACTGGCTGGGTCTCCAGCCCACCTATTGTCTCAGTAAGCCCTTTGTTCTGCTCACAGAGCTGGAGCCCACCGTCCGTCTGCTCAGCCCAGCCAGAGTTTGGCATGTGCCCGACACAGAGGCCTTACAGCCAAATCCTTACAAGCAGGGCCCACCTTTTGGATGAGACAAGGCAGCTGCTTGCTTGAAGTGACTTGAAGGGTATTGACAAGCCTCCACTCTGCCTCCCAAATCTCTCTTTTGACCGTAATTCCATCGTTATGAAGCCAGAAAATAGCATGTTGGGACTTTCTGTTAATTATTTCCCTCTCCATCTTGTCCCTTCACAAGATGCAGACACACTATTTAATTCCGGTCCCACTCTTTCCTAGCTGTGAGGCCAGGGGCAAGTCTCTTACTCCTTCCCTCCCTGCCTTGGGCCTCAGTTTCCTCAGCTATAAAACGGGGATAATAGTAGCAGGTTTATAGAGCTAGCAGTGTAAGTGCGTACTGTTACTGCTAAGTCCTCAGTGTCTGAGCACGCACGAGCACAGCAGACTGTATCACCCCACAGAGGTGTGGTTAGGGGAAAACTCAACAGGGCGCCGAGTAGTAAAGGGGGACATGAAGGTAAGATAGCAGGAAAACAGTTCACCATTTTGCCAAATTTTACAAATACTCTGTCACCCCCCACAGGGACGCTTCCCTTGACAACAGCCATTCCCGAAACAGGTAAAGGTGCTGGGGCTGATAAGCCCTTTCTCCAGCTCTCTTTATTTCAACCAAAGAATGTCTTCCATGTCCCTTCTCAATTCAAATATCTATGTACAGAAGAAAAAAAAGTACTCTGTATTAGCCAAATGGGGCCATCTGGAGCCCTGCTTACTCATGCCTTTATTTCTAATAATTCTTATAATAAATTTTAGAAGAAATGGAATCCGATTCCCATTTTTTTAAAAGACGAGAGAAGATTCGTTTAAGAAATGCCCCACCATTAACCCCTTCCTGAGTCAATGTCATGTCTACTGATCGAAAATATCCACTTATAATTTCCATTATATGTGACTGTGCCAAATCAACTGCTAAAAGTCTTACCTTATAAAAAAAACACAGTGTATTGAGGTTTTAATAACTTGAAAGGGCCTAATATTAAATATTATCATCCTCTATCCGTGTATGTTCACATAATAAGTCTTTGCACATAGACGCGTAACTACACACATTGGCTCTACACATTAAATGTGCCAAAATAGCACATTTTGATATTACAAACACAGTGAATGTGACGTACCCAGGAACTTAACAGAAGGAATTAGAAACATTTTTCTTCTTCATGCTTCTTTATTAAGATCTACCCACCTAACAACCATGAGAACATTCACAAGTGAGGAAACATTTTTCATTTCACTGCTACACATATTAAAACAAACCCAATTTATAGCCTTGTTTTAAACCTCTTTCCAAAAGCCTAGGAAAGAACATTTTCGAATACCTGGTCCTCCAAGTGGATGTTTAATCGTTTTAATGATTGCTTCTAAATCTGCATTTATAAATGATGAGTGTGTGTGCATGATAAAAGGAAGCCGATCCTATGGCTCTGTATGTACGTTGGCCTGAGGAAACAATATTTTCCAGATATTTACAACAGGTACAGTCTACACTGAATTACTTTATCATTTTGTGTGGGAGACACGTTAGCTCTTTCATCAGTGCTGCGCCAAGATTCAAAGAAAATGACTATAGGAAAAACCATTAGCCCTTAGTAGAAGAACAGCACCTCAGTATTTTATATTTCGCCTCACCCCTCAAACAGGCAATTCTATAAAGAACATGCCTACCAAATAATTGGTTAGAGGGTGGGAATCTTGAACAGTTTCTTCCCTTCTCCTTTAGGTTCTAGACAGTTTGAGAACTAGACATAGGAGCCAGATGGGGGCAAAGCCCAGCATTAGCTTTAATACCCAAGTTACAAGGCTGCTGGTTAGGCCGGCAACAAGTATGGGCCTTAGGGCTTGAACCAGAGGCAAACGTGTGTTTTCCTTTCTTTTTTTTTTTTTTAAGATTTTATTTATTTATTTGGCAGAGAGATAGAAAGAGAACACAAGTAGGCAGAGCTGCAGGCAGAAGGAGAAGGAGAAGCAGGCTCTCCGCTGAGCAGGGAGCTGGATGCGGGGCTCAATCCCAGGACCCCGGGATCATGACCTGAGCTGAAGGCAGCCGCTTAACCGACTGAACCACCCAGGCGCCCAAACGTGTGTTTTCTTCCTCCTTTTCCCCGGAGCTGTACTGGTTCACTCAGTTGTTGGCCGAGCAGATGAAGCCCTGGCAGTCCCACACTGCGATTGTTAGTTTGGGTCCTCCAAGAAGCCGACACAACGACAGGCTTAGACGTGCAAAATATTTATTGGCGAAACCACTTTTAAGGAAAAATGGGAGGGTGGTTAGACCTGTGATGTGGGTGAAGAAGAGTGCGACAGAGGGCCGGGGCGAAACCTCTTAGGCCTCGCTGCAGTTCTAAGGAAAATTCTCGAGCCCAAGTTCCTCCCCAGGAGTCTCTTGTCTCCCAGGCACGGGCCGGCCTTAGGATC